CTGCTGCTACAGCTGCCACTGCTGCTACTGTTGCTCCTTCTTGCGCTTTCGTGCTCTTGCATGTCGTGCTCTTACACGGCCACAAGCAGCCTCATTAAAAGCCGGTCAGCGATTTATCAGGTGCTGCAGTATTAAAGTCATCAGCCTCAACACCATCTACAACAAAAACCATGTCGAAAACTCATCATCGTCATCAGAATAGTAATAAGTACCAACATCGTACTCACTTCGGACAGGCTCTGGACCTTTCGAACACTCAGCTGATAATCCTGGTTGTCTTCAAGATCTAAAGCGCACAAGCACTGCAGCTGATGACCACTACTAAAGCTAAGTGCAAAGTCCAGAGCTACGCTCCTTATGGGCTTGTCCAAAGCGGCCAAGGTGCGTTTTTGAAGGATTCCTGATGTCCATGCTTCGCCGCAGCAGCTTTTGCATGTCTTCTCCCGTTTGGTCGCTAATCAGCTTCATCAGCTTTTCGAGGCTGTTCGCTTTCTTGCCGAAGTCATCCTCAAAGACCGTCTGAGTCCTTATTAGCTTCTGCACTTCCGACTGAACCCCGCAACCATTGCCTGTGCTGGATGGTCTTCACAGCGTGGTTGCTCTGAGTGTCGTTTTTTGCTGCTACTGCAGATGCTTGACCTGCTAGTCACAGCGGCGTCCTGACCAGCACAGGATGCTTTGTACATCGCCGTGCATCGCTGCGGTAGAAACCCACTGCTCCGGGGAGCGTGACGCTGTTCTGGTCTTCAGCGCTGTGTTCTTACTACTGCTTTTGCTGTTACCTTGCTGCCATTGTCCTGCAGTCGACACGGTTCCACTGGTTGCAACTGCTCCTATCACTAGTGTCACGTCATTGTCGCTACCGCAGTCGCCGTTGCTGCTGTTGTTGCTGTCGCTGCAGTTGGAAATCCTTGCACTGGTCTCGTGGCTTTTCGGTCATGTTTCTCTTGTTGTGTGCCTGCTTATCAGGGATGACATTGCGTACAATGCTACCAGCATAGTTTCCATTGTTGGAACCTATCTGACTGCCAACTGCTGCTGCTGCTATTCTGTTTGTGCTTGGTACCCCAGACAGTCATTCCGGTCTGTTCATCGCTGAGTTTATGGTTGCCGAAGTTGGCAGTCCTCTTAATACTGAAACTAAGCAATGTCATGGTCATTGGTATATTGCTATTTTCATCCGCATGATTGTTGATGCGAGCGCGAATACTCAATTCAGTGTTGCTTTGGCTGCTGCCCCGCATGGCAACTGTAGTCAGGGTGCTAATCGTCTTGTATGTCTGTTATTGCTGCTGGCTAACATCATCGAGTTTTGCCCCCGCGAAAGTAGTTGTAATGGTTTGGCTGCTATTGCTCTCCGCACACTTGTGACAACAATCCGGCGGGCAACTATTGCATTGCTGTCGCTGGTGATTCTCGGTATTCGTGCCGCGAAGCATACGAATGAAGTTTTCCAAAGGCTCGTCTCCCGCCCTCCACCTAGCTTTAAGGCTTGGGGCTTAGGGCTAGGACCAGTCAAGAAGGCTGAATGCCGCACCCAGTGGCCCTCCAGCTTTCGCGCCGTGCCTAGGAGGGATTCGCATCCGAGCTCGGAGCCCTTTACGGCCCTTTTCGGGTTTAGAGCTTCGGGTTTAAGGTT